ATAGAGTTTGTTTCTTACAGTTTGGAGGCTGGGAAGTCCAAGGTCCAGGGAACATATCTGTTGAGGGCCTTCATGGTGGTGGCTTCTGTAGCAACGCAGGGTGTCACATGGTGAGAATGGGCTGAGCAAGAGTGCTAAGCTTCTCATTTGCTCTCCTTATAAAGCCGTCCGACTCGCTGGCTGAGCGCGGTGCGGGCGACGCCACACCAAGGGTTGTGATCCCCTTACCGGTCACGAAAAAGACAAAAATAAATAAAGCCATCCGAACCACGCCCATGACCACCCATTAAACCATCAACCCGTTACTCCATGAATGGATTAATCCATTCACTAGGAGATGATTCTCATAGTCTAATCAACTCTTAAAAGGCCCCACCTTTCAGATACCATTACTGTATTTCCAACCCTCTTAACACTGTTACAATGGAGATTAAGTTCCCAATACATGAACTTTTGAGGAACACATGTAATCCATAGCAAATAGACTGTTAGGTTCATAGAAAAATTACATAGAAAGTACAGAATATGTCCCCTCACACATCTCCCCTATTATTAACATCTCGCATTATTAATGTGGTACATATATTAAAATCGATGAACCAGTGTTTATACATTATTATTAATAAATTATTGATACACAGTTATAATTTAGAGGGCTTAGTCTTTGTGTTGTACAGTTCTATGGGTTTTGACAAATGCCATTACAGTAATATACAAAATAGTTATATTGCCTTAAAAAATGCCCTGTGCTCTCCCTATTCCATCTCATCCTGCCCTACCCCAAACCCCTGGCAAACACTGATCTTTTTACTTCTCTGTAGTTTTGCCTTTTCCAGAATGTCGTGCAGTTGGAGTCATACAGTATGTAGCCATTATGAACTAGCTTCTTTTACTTAACAGTATGCATTTAAAGTTCCTCCATGTCTGTTTGTAGCTTGATAGTTCATTTCTTTTAATCACTGAATAATATTCCATTGTATGACTGTACCACAGTTTGTTTATTCATTCACCTATTGAGGG